ATCACTGTAGAAAATCACAAACCAACATCTGTGTTCAACCAAAACAATTTCGTAACCAAAAAAAAAAAAATCTAATATTCATTACATGTACATATCTCAAAGCTTTCAATATCATGATAAAAATACAAATTTAATTGTAGAAACAACAGAATAACAACAATATCATAAACAAAATCAAAATCATAAGCTCATACTAAAAAACACCAAAACATCGAAATTGAAATCAAAATCAAACATACCAGTTAAGCTCCATCCACAAAATCGCAAATCACAAAATTTAACTATACACCAAACGCGAAATCACAAAACACGAAGATTCATAGATTTATAAAAAGCAAATCACAAATCGAGCTCCCTCCATGAGATCGCAAATCGCAAAATCCAAATATATACCAAGCGCAAAATCACAAATCACAAAGCTCCACAATAATGCATTAACAAATCGCGAAATTCCACAGAAATCCAAATCACAAACCCAAACCCAAACACACATTACAGTATTTTGATGGCAAAAATCAAATAGAAACGTGCCAAAATAAGGGTAAAACAGGCACAAAAAAAAGACTCCAGGACCTATTGGTGCACAACATCAATATTCAGGACTAAGAAGGGAATAACTATAAAAAGTAGGACCGACCAGTAAAAAACACTAATCCAAATCACTTGGAGCATCTCTAAGTAAACAATTCCGAACCCTCAACTCAACCTCACAGTAGCCTTAGCCAAAGCATTGGCACAACTATTAGCATCCCGAGAGATATGTCTCACTTCACAGCACCAATCCCTATCAAGCAAAGCGCAAACCTGTTGACCCAGCTCCACGTGTGGGTGTCACTCATCCAAGTCTGAAATAAGGTGGACACATTTGAGTGAATTTGTTTCCACCAAGCAACCTGCAACCCTCGAAGAATTGCCAAAATCTCTGGCATGCATTGGACCAAGAAAGTGTTGGAAACCCACATGCCATTCTCCACTGTCCTGCTGGGCAATCTCTGGCAGTAGAATTGCTTCTGCTAGAATCACTAACCCAACCCTCCGACGAATAACATCCATCCGGAAGTATAAAACCTTGCACATGATTCCTATGATTTCTCCAGAACCTTAGTCAAACGACCCACCCCACAATGGCTTGAACATGTTCACATCAATCTAATCCACACCACAAGAGGCAACGAGGTAAACATAAACTGTCCAGGACAATGTGGGGGAATGAAACTCTTCCAAACAAATTAATGTTGACAGTGAACAATCAAATTCCTAATGGCGTGAAGAGTAGACTCTGTAGTTTATTGTACTAACCAACCAACCAAACCAAGCTTTACCTTCCATCAAATAGCGTTAGTTATATGAATTTTCTTCTTCACACGATTCTATTAAAGGCCATTTCATTAGCCAAATTAAGTAGATTCATATCTCTATTTATTATGTTAGCCAACGTCAATTTAGGTCTACTCCGTCTCCTATCACTTCTCTCTACCGTCACTGCATCGCATATCTTCACTACTGCTTATGTTAGTCTCCGTTGAATATGACCAAACCATCTCAATCTATTATCTTTTAACTTATCTTTTATCAGTGCTATTCCTACCTATTTTCGAATACACTCTGTAGTTTTAATGTGTTTAAAAAAAATTAAATTACATATTCTATACATACAAACAAATTTATAATAAATATAATTGGGATGTGGATTAATGAGAATAGTGTGAGGAAAATGAAACTTGTCCCTACCTCTATAATTACAAGTTATTTTCTCTTTATTTTGGGCCTTTCATTTTCTATTTATATATATATATACATATTTTTATGACATTTCTCTTTTTATTGACATTACTATAATGGGATTTTAAAAAATTAGTTCCCATCTTTTAAGCTTCTCAAAACCCGTGTCATATGGGGCGGAGTGGGGTTTGACAAAGCAAAATCACCATCTCTGCCTAATAATGCCTTGGGGTGACCCTAAAATCCAGTCCAGTCTAAATATTTTTTTGAAACTTGAGATAAATATTTTAGCCCTTAAAGTAAGATTGAATTAACATTTTAAGTGTTTTTTTTTTTTCGGACCAAGCTTGGATGAGAGGTTTTTTTAACTAATAATTTCTTAAAGTTAGTTGTTATTCTGAATGATTGAAAGGTTTTTTCAAACCAATTTTCATATTCTTTATATATATATATATATAATGATATAGGCTAAGTGAAATTCATATTCTATTCATTTGGAACTTGGGAGGGTGAGAGAGAATGAAAAATTTATTGTTAAGAAACCAAAGCATCCTAGTTAAATTATGGAACCTATTGGGACATTCATCTAGGAACCCTTCAAGGAAGTTAGATTCTCCCCCTATCGATTTAGGTGGAGACATCAATCATACATGCCAAAGTTCGACACTTTAAATGTTTGTTCCTCGACAAAGTTTTAGTCACATGACAAAGTCTTAATCAACATATCTGAAATATTATCATTCGTGTGAACCTTTTCGAGTTGCAACAACTTCGAATCTAACACATCATGAATCCAGTGGTATCTCATATCAATGTGTTTTGATCTCGAATGAAAAGTAGAATTTTTACTCAAATGAATAGTACTTTGACTATCACAATAAATTTATTTAAAATATTTACAACTTCACCTATGTAACACATTTTGACCCATGAGGGTAAAATTGTAATTTCACCGTTGACTAAAAATCAACTTCTCAAATGAAAAAAAAGACAAAAAAATTAACTTTTAACTTTTACTACAAATTAAAAAAAATGACTAAAAGCCAATTTTCCAAAATAGTCATACGTGGGAGCACGCACTCACATCACGAAATTCAAAAGCGGCGGTTACATTTATTTGGGACAGAGAAATCAAAAGAGAAAAGAAAGGGAAATATCAAATAGTTAGAATTTTTTAAAAAATAATTATAAATTAATGAGAACTTTTATAAATATTAATAAATTTTTTTTATGAATATGTAATTTTATTTTTCAAAATTCAACTGTAGTGTGAATCCCTAAAAACAAGGAAAAAAAAGAAGAAGCTAAACTTGGTGTGAAGAAGCAAAAAGTAACCATTTTCATAGCAAAATTAAACCTGGTCTCCTTTGTTTGTAAGGCATTGGATCCTCTTTAATTGGAATATCTAATTAGATGGCTCAATCAGGCTGTCGACTCATTTTGCATCCGTATGGATAATTTAAATTATTTATTTTGTAAAGAGATTATACATTCTACAAATTAAAGCAGTTGAATACGGGGAGTCACTCGATTAATAATATTTGTTTAAAAAATAATTAATGAATAATATAATTTTAAAAGTAATTCGTTAATTATTTTTTAAATAAATGTGATATAAAAAAAACTAGATATATACCCTTATGCAGCTTATAACTAAGTAAAAAAAGGACATAATTTAATACTTTTTTGGCCATAACTAAATAAATAAATAAATTATAATCAAACATCACATGAGATATAATCAAAAATCTCATGAGTCATAATTAAAATATTATCATAATTAAAAAAAATAATTATAATTAAAAATATATATATATATATATATATTAAGATGGTATGGTCATATACAACGGAAACTAACAGAGACAGTAATGAAGAGATGCAATATAGTGATGATAGAAGTAAAGCTATGTAAAATATTGTCCAATCCGCTAAAATCGCATCAATTTGCACTACTTTATCCGCTAATCGTGATTTTAAACTTCAAATTTTTAATTCGCTTTCGAAACCGCTCCGCTGCGCTATAGTTAATACATATATATTTTTTAACTTATAATGAAATATCAAAGTAAAAATAAGTGCGAGAGAGATTTAATATATGAAATTTTTTACAAATTAGTAGTTAATATATGAAAAAGATTATGTAAAATTAATTTGTGTTATATATATATATAAATATATCATACAAATTAGTATTATATATTGATAATGCAATCTGGTAAGCCGGGTATGGGTCGGATTGATCTAAGCATTCCATGAGTTGGGTCTTTTTGATCACACCTGCAACAAGTCTAGTAAGAAGGTTTCAAAATAGGGATGGTTCCTTCCTACGGATCCTTCAGCGATCAAATTAGATGAAGAAGATGGCGAGGGTAAGAACTTAGAGAAATTTAAGCGTAAAAAAATAGAGAGAGAGAGAGAGAGTTGTTACCAAGCGGTTCTCATAAACTTTCTTATATCTCTTATTAATCATTTCCTTGTCTATTCATGTTGTTCCATTGGCTGAAAGTCTGCGACCTTCTTGCCTTCGGCCATGGCCATTTCACCATGCTCCATAGTGAGAGGTCTTATTGCATTTAATGCCTTGACAGTCGCATTTAATGCTTGGCGCATGTGTACTCAATAACTTTGAAAAATCTTTGTCTGCCACGTGGTTGGACTCTTGTTTGGTACGTGTCTAGCTGATGCGTGAGCTTGATTATTGTGGATTTTCTATCAAGTTTGGTGTTGGGTTTGTTCTAAGCTTTATGATGATAGTTAACCAAATAATTGTCTGAGAAACCCATAGCGACCATAGGTTGGGCCCTCTCAGGCCATGCCCATCATATATTATGCAATGGCTTAATAATTTGTTAAAATGTTCATTAATTTATCAATTTGACTAAAATCACAATTTGTTAATCCGTCAATCTATTATTTGGTTTATAATTTTACTTTTAAATCATCTGAATCGCATTACGCACATCCCTAGATAGAAAGTAGTGCTAGAGAAAGGAGTAGATCTAAATTAACGGAAATTAATGTAATAAATAAATATATAAATCATCTTTATTTAATTAATAAAATGATCTTAAATAGAGTCTACTGAAAAAAATTCATACAAGCAACCCTATTTGATAGCATTGGTTAGATTTGGTTTGGTTTGGGTTAAAAAAAAAAAAAAAAAAAAAAAAAAAAAAAAAAAAAAAAAGGGGGTTTTGGGGCTTTGCGTATAGTAGAATTTCCCTTGGATAAAATAGCTGTGATATGTTGTTTGCAAATGTTAAATTCTAGAGAGAGAAGGGAGCTGGAGAGAATGAATGAATGAGAACCCCGCCTGCCCTTGTTTCACTCGCAATTGACGCTGCCCTCCTTAACCTCCCCAACATTTCCGATCTCTCCTCCATCCCTGAACACATCCTTCTTGAGCTATTCCTGGTACTCTCTCTCTCCCTCTCTCTCTCTCACCCTTTATATGTATGCATCTTTACTTGGGTTACTCATCCTTTGCTTTAATTCTCTTCTAAAATATGCCAGGTATGATCTCTCAATTTCGTAGTGTTTGCTTTACTTTCTTGTTCTTAGGTCAACTGTACCCTACTCTCAGATTGTTTTTTTAATTTAATGTGGGGCAAAGTTTAGATCTTTTGGATATTTTTCTTTGATTTTACTTTTGTAATTTGGACTAAATATGCATATGATTGTGTGTATTTCATGTTAGATAGTGGATCTGTTGATGGACAATAAGAATCGAAATAAAAAAAAAAATCAGTTTAGTTTATCACAGTCCTCTTGTATATATTTTCATCTGTATGGTCATCACAAAAGGGCATATTGGAATTTCTAAGATAATTAATGGGATTGTTTTTAATCTTCTAGTGATCTATAACTTTTTTAAGTTCTCAATGATTGACTCAGGTTTTTCAATTTATTTATTTATTTTATTTTTTTATGGATTTTCTAAATTTCTTGCTAATGTTACAACTTGACCCTGAAGCACATTTTGGTTTTGTCATTTTATTTTATTTTATTTTTTAAAGATAGTAATTTTGACTTTGGCAATTGTTTCTGCAATCACTCTTGTGAAAGCAAAAAGAGAAAATAAACTTTCTTTTAATTGAATCGGAAAAGTTTTTTCTTTCTGAATCAATGGTCTATCTATTTATTGTGTGCAAAACACACCATTATCAAATCAAAATTGCCCTGGCTATTGCCGTTTAATGTATTATTGTTTATGCCATGTTTTTTTGTTTTTGCTTTTTTTTCTCGTGCTAGTGTACTTTTTCTTTTTCTTTGAAATATGTTGTGATCCTGACTGGTCTGTTGCATACATGCCTTATTGAATTGTTGAAATCAGGATGGTTTTTGAATGGGTTCCTATAGATATGATGTTGGCAAACCATATAAACAACTGTGATGTATGATGTGTGCACTATTCTGTTAAAAAATATATGAAGAGATTTTATATTTAGTTACTCCACTTGCCTATTGTAATTTGTAATAATTAAATGATATATTATAAATACTGTCTAAATGCTGAGACAAATATTGTTTAGGCAACCTTAAGGTGGTGTGGAAACTTAGTTGAGGAGTTCAATTGTTGGCAAATCTTGTTGGTTTCTTTTGTTTTAGTTGTTGGTCTTGGTTAAAAAATATTGACTGTGTTAACGAATTTAAGCATTGTGATATGGATTATAGGTTATATGACTCTTCATCTCATAAGCATTTTGTTTAAATATTGCTAATTAGCCTGGATCATTGATATTGTAACTATTTTATTTCTATTGTCCCATGAAGTTTGCCTTCCTTTCTATTTTTCTCTTTTCTCTGATATATTCATCATCAGAAGTCAAAGCACCGAGTTTTTAATATTATGCATCTATATTATCAGACAGTGGAAAATGATTTAGATGCATCAAATGTAGGTGGATGGTTTTGGAAGTGCAAAATCAGAAGTGTGATTTTTTTGTTCATTAACTAATCTCTCATTACACAAGGACTATTCAAATAGGACACTCTTTGTGAAAGACACTTCGTAGTACGAAAGGATTCTAATTCCCAATTGGTGGTTGGATTATTCGATTGTTAGAAAATTTGTTATCAAATTATATCCTTTTTGTGTCATTGTTGTCTACATGTTGATATGAAAATTTTAAGTATATTCTCAACAGCTTTCTTATATTTCCTTGATCAATTGAATATTATTAGTATTGCTCCGGGGCATAAAACATTGCATCAGATTTCCTATTTGTCATGGGAGTTGGAATCTCGATTTTTTAGCATGTGTTATGTAGCAGTCCGTGATCTTTGCTTTTGCTTTTGAGTAGGTGGTGAAGAATTTTTGGTTATGTGTTAATGCATTAAATATTACAGGCCTATCTCTCCTCTAGCGATCATGCACACTATTGTTTAAAAAAGTAGTGTTGAGAGACAAATCAATATTAGTTGTAGTGTAGCTGTATCATGAGTATTGAGCGCTACATATCAGGAATCGGGTTACACTATTGTGAATTTTTAAAATCATCAGCAACCTTTTAAAACTCAATTATACGCATTTCAAAAAATTCTTTAAAGCTCAATTTTTCACATTTTGTTCTTGATTCTACAAGTGCCAGCATCAGGTTTTGAAGATGTGAAGTGTCACATTTTTTTATACGCAAATCACTGCATTTTCTTTTTGGTGGCAAGTATTGCATCATTGCTTTGAATGCCTTTAATGTTGACATGACACATTTATTATACATTAAGCAAAATGCATATATAGTTTAAATTGTGTATTTCCACTAGTTGATTAGGTATTTGTATCGCATGTCATTTGGGTTTTCTAGGTGCATCTTGTCATTTGGGTTTTTTGCTTTTCTTCTCTCCCTATATGTGGGTAGTGATTCCGAAAAAAGAAAGGAAGTGGCTTAGACATATCCTTTTAATTAGTAACCTAGAACAATTGATCACGTATTGATAAATACAATGTTCCATATGTTCCTTGAAATTCTTCTCCCATGGGACCATTTGAATCTATATGCATTCTTGGTTCTTTCTCTTGACTCTTCCAAATGAGAGAGATATTAGTTGATAGGAAAAAAAAGGGGCCCATTTCCAACTCCTTGTTTCCATTTATCTGGGGGTGGTGTAGGTATGGACCACGTGTAGACCAAAGTTTTCGCATTAATTGCAACAGTGCCTGCTCTTGGACTTGAACTTAATATCTCTCACATGGCAACCTTAGCTTTTTCTGTTGCACGCTACAATGTTCCCTAGATTGATGTTAGTTGATACTTTATTTATTATGATTCCATGATACAGATTGGTACCCTCTAGACGGGATTCCATTCCATAATGGAAGTTGTGCAGATCCATACACCTAACAGAGTTTGTTTGATGCATTTCTCATGCTTTCATGTGAAATATTTTTATGAGGTTTTGAGAGGAAGTCACATTTTGTCTTTTTAGTGGGAGCGATTTGGTGTTCTTTGCTTTGTGCAGCTCAAGGAAGGATTCTCACTATAGAGAAGGAGATGAATTTTGGTGAACTGGTGTTGTATGTACAAGAAAGATGGTGTATCAGTGAACCACCTTTTGATTCATTGTCAAGTTGCTCAGGAAATGCCCGTGGTTCTTATTTGGTTTGGGGTGGAGTGGATGTTCCCTTTTGGAGTTGATGATCTTTTGCATTGTTGGAGAGGTGCTAGGGTGGGAAGGATGAAAACGAAGGTATGGTGCTTGATTCCTTTATACATCATGTGAATCATCTGGGGAGAGAGAAATAGTAGGTCTTTTGATGGTTGAAGGGTACCTTTTTATAGCCTCTAACTTTTGCTAGTTTTTGGTATAGCTGGCAGATAGGTGTTGCTAACCCTCCCGTGAACAATTTATGGATTTTATAGAGCTTTCTAACAATAGAGGAGGTGTATATAGGGTTTTTTTCTTGTTTGCATCTATGCTTTTGGTTGTACTTGGGTGGCATTACTTAATGTGTTTTGAAGGAAATTTTTTATTATTTATCAAAATAAAATAAAAAATCATTTGGGCTGGACCAGATTTCATTCTGCCTATAATTCCAGTACACGTAGGTCTGTATTGGTAATGGAGCTTGTTTGGGCTGGACCACGTGTTAGGAAGTATTTTGTCTGTGTCTCTCATGTGTCATGCCTTGCATTTTTTTGAAAATTTCTATGTCAATGTGTTCGTGTCATATCACAGTTGTGTTGCGTGTCAGCATCGATCATGCTGAGCATTTGGCTTCACTCTTCCCTCATAATTCAATGTGAACCCTCTACTTTTCATGCCTACATTGACCTTAGAAGGTAGCAGCCACCTGAAACCTCTGCCTTGTTTGCTTGTGAATGGGTGTTAATAATGGGGATCATTTGAATCCTACCGGAGTTCAAATTTTTATTTTTATTTTTAAATCCTACTGTTTCCTCGGCAGGATTCTTGTTCTAGGCTCACATGTTCATGAATCACTTGGCCTGTAACTAAGCTGAATATTATTTTCTCTTATTGTGTAAACACTTCATACTTGAAAATGTCGGTTGAAAAGGTTGCTGGTTCAGGCACATAGCTCTGATAGGATACTCTGAAATCATCAGAAATGTCGGGTATGTTTGGTTTGCATTTGGGAGATGAGATTTAGAAAAAAATTTCTAAAAAATTGTTTGGTTTGAGTTTTTCTCAAAAAATTTCCAAAATCACCTTCTCTCTCTTACACATCAATCAATCACTTTTTCTCTCTCCTCTCTCCTTCTCAACCACTTTTTCTCTCACACACATCTACTCAAATTCTCCCAAAATATCAAATCATCCCAAACTCCAAAAAAAACAACTCTCCCAAAATATACAACTAAACAAACCAAAAAAATTTCTAAACTCTCTCCCCAAATTTTTTTTCAAAAACAACTCTCCCAAAAACAAACCAAACAAGCCCGTCATGTTCTTACATTGTGTATATGCTCACAATTTGAACTTTTAGCATGAATATGAGAACATGACATTGGATCTGTGCATGGCCAGTTTTACATCTTATTCAACCTGCCTTATTGTTCTTGAGATGTACGCATGGTGTTAATGCTTTATAGGGTATCTTGATTACTAGAGCATCAGGTCTTTAGTTATACTTTTCCTGTCCTGTGATAGTAATTGCATTCTTAGTGACACCGATCTTCTCTGTGGCTTTATATGATACATAATTTAATAATGAATCATGAACTCGAAACAAGATGAGTAACATAAACAATAGATAACTGAGTGTTAGGTTGCCTCTTGTTTAAGGATGTCTTCCTTGATGACCAACTCTGGATCACTCACAAATGCAAAGTTGAAGCTAAGCAAACTATTTATTGCGGGATTATATCAACCTTGTTGATGTTTGTGTCCCATCTTGGTAAAATTTAATTGAAACTCGTCATTTAGTTTGTGATTATATCACTTGCATGTTGGTTGTATAATTGTTTTTTTATTTTTGTCAAATCGTTGTGGTGTATAGAAGTCATTTCCATTTTGAAAATTGTAGTGTCTAACTTCTAGTAGGGATTATTTCTAAATTTTGACCATTGATTTTGTTTCTCTTGCTAGCAGAATCCTTGTTTATTGGTCCAGTGGTAATAGGCTAAGCAGAAGTCATCACAAGTCTAGCAACTCTAATCCTTGCTTTCAAAAGCATTAATTTTGACACACTGAAGTTACTAGTGTTATCTGGTTGCGTAGATTCAGCATTTTATTTTGTCTTCTATCCTACAGTCAAATTACGAAAACATCATGTTTCACATCTTTTGTTGCCTTTTGTTGTAAAGTTTGGATCTAGCTTGATAGACTTGATACTCTTGAGTGAAGCATGAAATGATCGCGTATTAGGAAATCTATCTCTTCTTTATGTAGTATGTTTGTTGTGCTTGTTCGTCTGGGACATGATTATTTGGAATCATTCTTGCATCCTATGTACACACACACTCGTATGAAAACTCTTGTCTACTGTATTATGGTTACCCCTTTTCTGATATAAATATCCTTACGCAAGTGTAAGTTATTTCTTAATTGGCAGAGAACTTTGAGAGCTGGGAAGCTGACTGAGAAGAGTTTGAACCTATTTATTGCGACCGGCAAAGAAGAAGTCCTTTCTCTTATCCAGGCACTTAATATCCAGCATGTCCTGACTCCTGTTCTTCCCACTAGTAAGTCATTTTTGAAATATCCAATTTATACTTGAATTTGAAGGAGTTTTCCTCTGACCTTCAAAATTCTTTTTCTCAGGATGCTCTGAGAAATTTTAATATTTGATCGAAGCACACTTTGATATTGGGAATTCGAATTTAGCTACTTTTAGGCAGTGTGAAACCACTTTTTACCTTTATTTCATTATTTGCTTGGCTCAAACTATCAGAACAATGTCTCAAGTAAGCATTAAGGATGATGAGGTTGATATTGTGATCGGTGCACTTCACTCCGATCTTACATCCTTCATGGAAGATTGGAGACAGGTATTCTCAAGATTCCACCTAATAATTGTCAAAGATCCTGACCTCAAAGAGGAACTCAAAACATCAGATGGCTTTAATCTTGATGTCTATACCAAGTCTGATATAGATCGAGTTGTGGGCTCTTCCTCCTCCACTATTCTCTTTTCTGGTTACTCGTGCCGCTACTTTGGTTATCTAATGTCGCGGAAAAAGTACGTTATCTCAGTTGATGATGACTGCTTGCCTGCCAGGGACAATAACGGTGTTTCAATCGATGCCGTGGCCCAACACATTACCAACCTTGCAACCCCAGCTACTCCTTTTTTCTTTAACACGCTCTACGACCCATACCGTAAGGGAGCGGATTTTGTTCGCGGTTATCCATTTAGCTTGCGAACTGGGGTGACGTGTGCTCTGTCATGTGGGTTGTGGCTTAATTTGGCAGACTATGATGCACCAACACAAGCCCTCAAGCCGGGACATCGGAATTCTCGATATGTTGATGCTGTACTGACCGTACCGACTAGGGCAATGATGCCTGTGAGCGGAATCAACATAGGTTTTGATCGTGAGTCCGTGGGGCCTGCTTTGTTGCCGGTTTTGAGGTTGGCCGGGGAAGGAAAGGTCAGGTGGGAAACAGTGGAAGATATATGGTGCGGAATGTGTGTTAAAGTGGTGTGCGACCACATGGGCCTCGGTGTGAAAACCGGGCTGCCATACGTGTGGAGAAAGGAGAGAGGTGACGCGGTGGAGAGTTTGAAGAAAGAGTGGGAAGGGGTGAAGCTGATGGAGGAAGTGGTGCCTTTCTTTCAGTCGGTGAGCTTGTCGAGTGAAGCGGTTTCAGCTGAGGATTGTGTGGTTGAGATGGCTGCGGTGGTGAAGGAGCGATTAGGGCCGTTGGATCCGGTTTTTGCTCGTGCTGCGGATGCCATGGTGGACTGGATCAATCTATGGAAGACGGTAGCTGGGACTCGATCAGCGGCCTGAGATAGTAGTAAGTAATTTTGGTTATTTTTACCCGTAAAGGCTTCTTATTTTCTTATGATGTCCTTTTGGATTCTTCATGTTTACCTGAACAAAAATTAGTAGGTAATTGCTTTGCTGGAAATAAAAGATGTTATTGATATTACTGTTGTTAGAGTCTAAAAGATGTTGTAGTTTGTTGTACAAATTACAATGGAATGGGTGATTTGGTCAATCAGTATGTTACTTTGTATGCACAGAAGACCCATTTTTTAAATGTTACTTTGTATGCACAGAATACCCAATTTTTTGTTTAAAAAATGAAGGGCCTAAATAATTTAATTTTAACCTTTGTTGTATTTTAGTAGTTTAAAAATAAAGTTTTACCCGAATAATTTTTAAAAAATTGATGTGGTGAATTATGTTATAGTAATAGATATTTATTTGCCAAATGCATGGAGTGTTTATATAATATTGTTGATTATGCTAGTGGCTTGTGGAGAAAGAAACTTTTTGAAGTTGAAGTTAATTATATCTTACATTTATTCAACTATGAGAAAGATTGGAATAAATTGATTATGCTGACAAGTTGGATTATACAATCTTATTTAGTAATTTTGAACCTAAAAATGCAAAATGAATAATGTTTAAGTGACATTTTGCTATAGTTGGTTCAATTTTTATTTGATATTACAGTTTTTAATCTTGTTTGGTGTTTTTTTTTTCCTTATCTTAAATTGGATTTTGTTAAACTATAAAACAAGATCATATTTTTTTTTTTCTTTTACAGTTTTTGTAAGAATTTCTTCATAACTTAATTTATCCAAGTAAATTGAAGATGCTGTTTTAATACATGTAAGCAAACTTTGTGTGGGTACTAACAAATAAAAAAATTGAAGATTATTATTAATTTATCTATAATTTTTTTAGGATAAATTATACTTTAGCCCCTTGTGGTTTACCCAAATAACCTGGAGCTCTTTTGTAGTTTTATTTGTAACACTTAAACCCTTGAATTTCATACTAAAGTATAATTTCGGACGGACATAACAGAAGTAAAAAATCTAAATTATTCTCATTTCTTTCTCTAATTTTTTTCTTAATGCCATTAACAATCAAAATATTCACATTTTTTTTATTAATTTTTTGTATTCCTCTTTTTTTTCTTCTTCATCATCATTCCATGGCAAATCACACACTTCTCATACCATTATCAAATACAGTCCCGTTACAACAGAGCTCGATTTCCCCATGGCTCGACTGTCCCGAATTTCAAAACAACGCCTTTTTGAATTTTTTTTTCTTTTTTTCCTTCTTCCTCCCCCTTCCTTCTTCCTTCCCTTCTTCATCCCCCTCCTTCTCTTCTACCTTCTTCCTTCCCTTCCCTTCTTCCTTCCATTTTGAACTTTCAATTGAGAGAGTTATTGAAACAAAATCAAAAACAAAAACTCAAAAAAAAAAAAAAAAAAATCAACAAACCTAGCAAAAAAATTCAACAAACCCAGCAAACCCACTAACAAACCCACATGAAAATCAAAATCAACAACCCACATGAAAATCAAAATCAACCAACCCAGCAAACCCACCAACAAACCCACATGAAAATCAAAATCAACAACTCAAAAAAATCCACAGCAGCAGAGGAAGAAAGAAGAAGAACAGAGGAAGAAACCGCGTCTCTCCGTCGCTATCACCGTTTACACAGCCCGTCGTTCCGTCTCTCCGTCGCCATCATCGTTTACACAGCCCGTCGTTCTTCTCCCTTCTTTGTCGTCGTCGTTCTTCTCCCTTCTTTGTCGCCATCACTGTTGTTCTCCTCCCTCCTCTCTTCCTCTCTCTTCTCTCTCTCTCTCGCATCTCGCTTCTGTTTCTCTCTCTTGCCTCTGTGTTCAAAAGGAAGAAGAAGAAAAGAAAGAAAGAAAAGGAAGAAAAAGAGAAAAAAAAAGAAAAGAAAAAGAAACCCAAAACGACGTCATTTTGGGTTTCGAACCAAATTCGAGCCGTTGATTTCGGACCCTCAAACAATTTTCTATCAAATACATATTTCTCTCTCTCTCTCTTTAGAATTTAAACCTAAACAAATACTCATCTCTTCCTCTCTAGAATTTAAACCCAAACAAACACTAATCTTTCTATCTTTAAAATTTAAACCAAAACAAACAATCCATAGCTACAAACACCTACCAACCTCATCCCATCTCCTCCACTCAACAAACACCCATTATCTTCTCTCTCTAATTTATTTATTTATTTTATTTTTTGACATGGCTGTTAAATATATATATATATATATATGTATGTGTGTGTATATATTTATATATTCATTGGTTGTGTGGGGTCATTTTTTCTTGCCTAATTTGGCTGGGCAACCATCACAACAAAAAAAATTGGTTTTTTAAAAAAAAAAAAAAAAAAGAAGAAAAGAAAAGAAAAGAAAAGAAGGAAAGGATAGAAACTGTTGCTAATGTAGTCAAAGAAAGAATTGATTGATAGTTTTAATTATACATATATGATATATATACATACATATTAACTCATATATATATATATATAATACATATTTACCTATATATAGTGTATATATATGTATGGCTTTAATTTGACAAAAACATTTTGATTATGATCTACAAAATAGAGGCAGTGCATATATGCGTTGAAATTAAAAAATCTTTTTGGGTTGATTCTTTTGGCTGAAAGAAGAGGTACAGGCTGTAAGCTGGTGGAAGAGAAAGGAGAAAAGAAAGGAAATAAAAAGTGATCTTGTGATTAACTTTAATTTCTGGGTTGAGCTTGGCTTTCTTAATTTTAATTTTTGGGTTAACTTTATTTGAGTTAAGATAATGATATACATAGATTTTAGAAGAATAATGAAACAAAAATGAAAGAGAAAGATGGAGAAATGAGGGAGATAAGCTAGAAAGAGAGGGAAGCATTTTAGAGAGAGAACTAAATTTTTTGGTTTTCAAAAAAATTGGAAAGAAGAAGAAGTTAAGGAATTATTTAGTGTGGTTGAGGAAGAAAAATTTTGATTTTATGGTCGTGCAACACCTGCTCTGTTGAAACAAACGGTTCCGCTCGAAATTATACTTTGGTATGAAGTTTAAGCGTATAAGTATTACAAATGAAACTATAAGGGGGTTTTGTATTTTTTGGATAAACAACAAGAAATTAAAGTGTAATTTATCTTTTTTTTATTATTATAAATATTTATGGAACTCTCATTTTCGGAGTTTGCTAAGGCTCAAAAAAGTCAAGACCAACCATGTTTGTATGATTGCCCTTGCAATATTAATCGACTCTTTATATTGTACTTGTTTGGCATTTTAGCCAACCAAACTACAAATTTGATATTCCAATAGGCTAAAGCAATATACATTAGGCATTACCTTTCATTTGCAAAGAGATAACTACACTTGGAGTGTCAAAGGGAGGCTAGGCAAATGCACCCTACTCCAACAAGAAAAAAATCCCTCCATTTACCATTGTACAAATGTCATGTGACATGTAACATGTTATGGAAAAAAATTTGCACTTTTTATTTTTTTTTATATAACAATTTTATTTTGAAAATTAGTTAATTAATAAAGAGTCTTGTTGCAATATTATCAACACTAGGTGTCTACGTGGCATGTCATGAAAAAATGTTGAATTTTTTATTTTTTGTATACAAATTTTTTTTTAAAAAAAAAAATTAGGTAATTACAAAGAGTTTTGTTGGAATATACACCACTTAAAATATATATACTTTTTGTACTTTATCTAGGCAAGATGTCTACAAGAGTTGCTCTAAGTTTTAAATAGCAAAAATTATCATTTTTTAATCGCAATATTATCGAGAATTTTTTTTGGATAAGTAATATTCACATGCAAACTCTTAATCTTATTTTAACGAAAATCGTATATTGGAAGGAAGAAATCTTATTTTTTGGTGGGATTCAAATCCTCCTTTTTGAGGGGGTTTGAACCATTGACTTTTAGTGAGACATAAGGATTTTGATCAATCGAACTAACTCCCTTGGTTATACATTGAGGGTTTGACTTCTCTCAAGTTTGGATTTCAATTTGAAAGAGCGTTTGGACTTAGTAAGTCCATTTTGAAATCAATTATGATGATCTGAACTATTCACTTTTTTAGATTCATTGAATAGAATATTTATACAAAAAATCAAGATAATTGAACTTTGATAGTTATATGTTTGAATTATATTTGTTTTTAAAAAAATGGATGACAAATATAATTTCAAGAATAATCAGTAATTTTTTGTAATATAAATTTGATTCAAACACATAGTTACCGATATCCAATCATCTTAATTTTTTGCATGAGTATTCTACTCAATGAGTTCTAAAAAATGAACGATTCAGATCATCGAAACGGAACCTATGATAGATTTCACAGATCCCTCAAGCTTTTTTATATTGAAATCTCAGCATGAGAAAAGTCCAACCCATATATTTAATAGATTGAAACTTATTTTTGCCTTTCACCATGTGATAATGTCAAATATATGGAAAGGAAAATGATTACAAAATCAACTGAAACTAAAACAACACAAACCCACCATATTTTCTTTATATGAGATTATTTGGGAGGAGTTAACGCTAATTTTCTCGGTCATTGACTATTTATCTTGGAGTTGCCATTGAGTTCTTAACGCTATGTTTGGAATGAGTTTTTAACGTTATGTTTGATTAGGAGATTTGGAAAAAAAAGAGAGGAAAAAAAAGTGAAATGTGAATAAAATATACCTATATTTCACCAAGTTTCACATACCTTTTCCCTTTTCTTTTCTAAATTTCTTGTCAAATTTCTCTATCAAACACAGCGTAAACTTATAAATATCATTGACTATTCACTTTTTATGCCTATATGTCTTTGTTCGGATCAATTTGCAACCTTGCTCGTTAAATCAATATGCAAAGTCGTCACAAATTTTTAATGTAGTGTATGATATTCATTTATTTGTACTAAATTGTAAAAAGGAATATATATTTTTTTTAAGTTTGCCTGTATAAGGATTATTATTAAAGTTTGTTGTTTATCCTGCTATATTGTTCAGAATGGAATGTCACAGTGGTTAATGTTGTGGTTACTGGAGTTATTCGTGTTCAATTTACTTACTTTCTCTTACCATCAACAACAAAGTTATCTAGCATTTTTTTGAAAATAATAATAATAAAATAAAATAAAAAAGAAATAACCAAATAGTCTATCTTCAATCTGACATCCTATGGCAAAAATTTATTTATTATTTTCAAAATTTTCAATCCAACGCTCTTCTAAAAACTTTAAAATTTTCATCTTTAGAATTTTATGACATCCTTCCAAATTCCACACTTTACAAAATTTTCAATAATTGATCCATATTCATTCTCAACTATATCACAATTATGATAGTAAATAACTCCTCCACCTTTTTTCTTTTAGGCTGAGAACTCTAAGAATATGAAAAAGAGAATTTTGTATATTGATTGGGATATCTTACCAGAGAATTTTGTATATTGAATGAGATATCTCACAATACAATATAGAGGCTTATATATAGAGGTGGACAAACGTCGGGTCGAGTCGGGTTTGGGTCAAATCAGCACTACATAATAAGGGATTTTGTATCTGTCCAAGCCCAACCCGGCCCTAACATCGGGCCGCTATATCTGTCCAAGTTTAGTCCAAAAAATAATCATAAATCCTAAGCCCATCCATCGGGTTATATGTTAAAAAAAAATAAAATCATTTCATAATTAAATTCAATCACACATTATATTCTTAAACAAATATATAAATTGAAAGATTTTGTATATAAATCAAAGGATTTTTTAAATAAATTCAATCATATATCAATACAAATGTGATTTTCAATAAATTAACAAAGATAAAATTTAGATCCCAACAAAAAATATATATTTTAATGTATTATAAATGAACAAATAATCAATTAATTTAATAGCGGGCCGAGTTGAAAGTATAAATCCCAAATGCATCCCATTAATATATCGGGCTAAAAATGTTGGCCCAGCCCAGCCCAATCCTATGGACTAAAACAACATTTTTAAGCCGTAGAAAAATAAGACTGGGTCTTGCAGGTTGGGCGGGGCAACGGCCTGATATCCACCCCTACCTATATATAGGGTGAATAAGTGTAAACAATAACAAATATTGAATGAGAGCTCTAATATAGTAAGTTCCACATGTAATGGGATGTTTGTGTCTTTTCGTTTGTTTGTTTTTTTTCTTCTCTTGCCAGCTTAGTAGAACTCAAATTAGAGCTCTACGTTTAGAGTTTTGTATCATCGCCCCATCTTACAATACAATAAAGATCTTATACAATAGCGAGGCCTATATATAAAGAGCATAAGCGTAGGCAACAACAAACCTAGCAAAAAGGAAATAACCTAATATGGTAGTGACTAATTACAGCTAAATATTAACAAATAGGGTATTGTCATACAAGTCCAAAAATTAGACCCAATTTTCAAGTTTAATAATGTGACAATATATCTAAGGTAACACTCTCTCTCATATCTTCTCAATTATCAACTGATGATATTACTTACATATCATTGAAAGAGTTTAGAAAATAAGCTTGTATATCATGTTTCTAATAAATATTTACATTAATATATATATGTATACACATTTAACATATTGCCCCCAATTTCATATGGTGGGTCATCCTTCATCAATATTGTATGGTATATATTGTATGATATTGTTTTTTCATTACAAGAGACTTGATTTGCAAATTTTTCAGAAATGAAAACAACATAATTCCTCTTCCTGACAAGGACTATTTGTTGAGAATATCAGCTTAAAAATACACTTATTTCGCAAGTACACTCAACTGTGAGTTCAAACACTATATTTGCTATCCCACCTTTTTTGGTGCTGTTTTTCCCACCCATCTCAATTTCCATATAAAGGCATCCATTTCCTCAAGAGATGGTTAGGATCAATTTAATCCAAGTATTATCATTTGATTTCTAGAATATTTTTAGGATATTTTTTCTTGTCCACTATATTCTAAAATTCTCTATTCTACTCTAGTACATAGTAGATTTTGTCATACTTTTCTAAAATATTCTAGAACATTTCAAGAACTTTTGGATTTCTCAAGGTTTTTTCAAGATTCTCTCACATTTTAGATTATTATAAGAAATTCCAGAATTTTCTAAATTTGTCTAGAGCTTTTTGAACTCTTCTAAGTTCTCCCAATATTGTAGACTTCAAGAATCTGTGTTGAATCTTAACAATGTCAATTGAGTTAGATCATATAAGCTTTGAAGCTATAAATGCGAATAAACAAATGCTTAAATAATTTTTTTTTTCACAGTAGGTTCAATTTTTATTTGATATTATAGTTTTGGGTCTTGCTAATGACATCTCTAAAGTCTATCAATAAGCACCACAAATGTTAAAATATTTATAATCTCAATACACTATATATTCCAAAACACTTTTACACATTTCAATACATTTTTTACACATTTTTCCAAACTAACAATAACTCGAAAAACTGTTTTATCAATTTCTTTTTAAATGTTGCTTGGTGTTTTTTTTCTCGTCGCAAATTGAATTTTGTTAAACTACAAAACAAGAAGACTATATTTTATATTTTGAGTTCTTGTGATGCTTTCTTCAGAACTTGGTTTAAGAAAATTTTAGTGATTATATATTTAAGCAAATATTTCATATAGATTGTAAAATAAATATAAATATATACAGGTAAGAAAATTGTGTGGGTATTACAAAATTAAAAAAATAAAAATAAGAAGAGGATACTTACTATATTATTGACATTTTAAAAAAAAATGTATGAACTTAACTCCTTATCCTTTATATTTATTTAATTATGAATTTGTTGATAATATAATATCAAATTTGTTAATGTGTTTTGAGCTTTACTTCTTCGTATATATAACAAATCAGTTTTATGGAACTCAACTCAATTTCCATTGGAGACAATGCAACTCCTCCCAATAGAAGGTGACATCTGTAATGTACCAATTTTTCACCAGCACTTTATTCAGGCCTCGTTTGGGAACCCTCCCTTTTAGCTAAAAAGTCAAAAAGTTACTAAATTAGTCAAAAAGCCAACAACCCATATCAAAAAGTCGAAAATTCTCTTTTCTCTCTACTTTTGCACATCTTTTCGTAAAAAATCAAAAAATCATCCCAAACATACTAGTTTTTTTTAGCTCATATTTTAGCCAAATAGCCAAAAAGTTACTAAATTAGCCTGTTCCCAAACGAGGCCAATGTAAAATGAACCAATTATTGCCCTCAAATTATTAAATTTATTATTTGTTATGAATAAATTATTACCATCTATTTTGTCTGAAATATTTTCATAGACATTACTTATGAGATAAATAATTTACCATGTAATTACATTAAACGTGATTTTATTTAAGATAAGTTTTTCTTACAAAAATAATTAATCACTAGCCTTATAACTTAAAAGTATTTTACAGTTGCAAGCATGCAACTGTAACATAATTAATCATCTTCTTGACGTGATCAGAGTGGATTGTTTCCATTCTAATGTATAAGATTGCTAACACATTATTAAAAATTAAAATCAATGGCCTATACCGATTGACCTTGTAATGGACATCTCCATTTCATTTATGTAACAGAGAGAATCCAGCTCCCCTAATTGATATGATAAATTACTTTGTGAATGCCCCTAACAAATGTCATCCAGAAACCAAAATACATAAAACAGAGACTTTGTATAGCAAAACAACCCACACTCAAGTATGTAATAAAACCAACCAAATACAAATAGAAGCATACATAGAATAGTTCTACCTACTTCACTCCAACTATGGACATGAGAAACAGAAGCGTGTCATTGACTTCTATAAGATCAGATGGTTGGTTTTTATACAAGACAGGCTCAGGTGGCTCTACTCCAGTGAAGATGTAGAGAGCTTTTAGTTCCTCCGCACACGTTGCATGGGGTGCAGCTTTATATCCCACTATAGTTCTCAATGCATCAATCTGTTCCCATATTTTTTCTTCGCTTACCTACAGCAACAATGGCAGAGGTGGATCTATCAGAAACATTTCCAATAATGCAAATTTTAACAAAGGAACGATTTGATAATAATAAGCGAGACCTACACAATCAGAATAGTCCATAACAAGTCATTACAAAATCAAATCATTGGCCTCATATTTTTCCAAATGAAGAAGAGGTTAGATGATACAACTACAATATATCAGTGATAATTGAACCTTGATTGCTGTGTGCTCCAGGTTCCAACCATCTAAGAATCCATGAATGCTTTGCTTTGGTCAAATAAACCCATTACCCATATGCCTAACTTCCATTTCATTTAGGCATGCTTGATACCCCTTTGATTGCATAGGGATTCTATTTCCTTTTTTTTTTTTTTTATCTTGGTCGTAGGGCTATATAAACAGTTGTGTACTTTGTAAATATAGAATTGAATATACAATTTCATTTAGAAAACTTACAGCTAGCACACACAACATGAAATAACAAGGATAACTTTAATTATCAACCATGCACCATCGATTGGAACTGAAATGGTAAATCATTTTCTAACTGATTTTCTATTTTTTAAAATTATTGGTTAAGGTTTAGAGTGACGAAAAATAAAATAAAATAAAACTCGTTATCAAGGCTGTTTTAGAGCCAGCATGCAGGGCATTTACATGTTGCCCTTACTAGACACACAGGACTCCATAGGATTGCCACCTATCATGCTGATTCCAGCTATGTTGAATGCAAAGATGTCCCATTCGACAATGCATTCTGCTGCCTGCAACTTGTGACTGGACAAAACCACTTCAGACAAAATATATTGGGTATACACAGACAAGATGGAAAGGAAGAGGGGCCGTGCAAAAGGAGAGAGGGGGAGGAGGGGGATACATAGGGTCATCTTGTAAATATAGTCGAGTCTTGTCCTTTAGATTGGTAATTGCACAACCAGGTAGAGAATGAAATGATACAGTCAGGGGCGGCTCCAAGGCTTGGCCAGGGGTGTCACCCGAAGCCCCTGGCCGAATTTTTATTATTATTATTATTATATAAATATTAGATTTTAGGAAAAAAATTAGTAATTGAACCCACTAAAATACAACTTTGAACCTATAGTTTTAAATCCTACTCTTTTGAACCCACTATTTGATAGTGTTGATAATGAGCTTATTATGCAACGATTTCAAAATATGAAATCTCGTCGTGGTCAATTGTAGAAGCTCGTGTATTAGCATGTCTTTTTGCTTAAATAATAGTATCAATATATTGAAATATTTTTGTTTATAATTTTAGAATTTAAATTAATTTGTTGATTTTTTTCTCCATATGTGATATAATGATTAATGTGAATTTTCTGTAAGATATATGGTATTTAAGTTTTTGATTGACACCACTGACAAAAATTCCTGGAGTCGCCACTGGATACAGTATGCTATTTTGTTCCTTTAAATTTGATCAAGAAGCAGAAGTCTCAGTTCGTGTTTCAATCTGAAATTCGAGTGTTAATATCAAAGAAGATATGGATTAAATTTAAAAGTGACCTAACAGATTATCCATGTATGAGTGCCTGATGCAGATCATCAGGAAGCAAACTTGGGAATGTTCTATGTCAAACTTCTGCCACTTGCGTTCACATTGCAGTGACATTTCAGAGCCATTCCAGGATATCTATGATTGTGATGTATGAGTGTCTCAAAGCAACTTAAACCTCATTAAAATTCTCTCAAATCCTCCAACTCATCTTGTACTAACAAAAATGCTATAGGATATTATAGTTGAAAAAAAAAAAAAACCCTTAATGTCAGTTCTAGTCTATGTTTTTCTGGAGTCATCTTCATTCTTTATAAGCTATAAATAGAAACTAAACACAAGTACAAACTACAAAATTCTTGTACATTATTCATTCTGCATAAGCTCTGCAGACAAAAAATCATGCTACCACATGGTGATCTGTGGTATTATGATTCCATAGATGAATGCATTCCATGATTGTTCACTGACATGTCACGTACTCACCAAAAATCAGTGCTCACGGGGAACATCAGTTCTTGAATCTCCACATTGTGATCCCCAGCCATTGTTTCTAATTTCCCATTATTTATAACCAAATAAATAATTTTGCATATGTACATCATTTATTTGCATCATTAAATGGCTACAGCATCCTGCAAACTTGTATTTTTCCATCAGAAAATTTTATTTTTATTTTCTATTTTTACTCAGGTCTTGGGAAATCCATTTCCAAAAGTAGTAGTCCATCTTTGTCAACAAAATCAAATTTCCTCCAACACCGCATTAATGGGCACACCTAAGATGTCAAAAACACTATTGCCCTTTTTTTCCCTTATCATACAAGTGCAATGGTCAATAACAGTAAGAGGAATCAGCATATTCTAGCCTTCTAAAATTTTATTCATTTTCTCTTTAGATAAATGAAAATTAAAGTATCAAGTAGTACTATGGTGACATGACAATGAGTTTTGTATTAATTAATGGTATGTAGTGTGGACATTATCAACCAGAGTTTTGGAATAACATTATCATCCAAAAGGTGGATTAATTGATTCTCGGAGAGAACAAGACTCGAGTGTGCATTCTACTTACTGTTATGGGGCAAAAGATGAGGCATAGGTGAAAGTGAGTTAATGACAATTAACAAAATAATTTAAAACAACAACAGAACAGTGTACATATGTGTGGTTCATTATTTAGACATCATAGATTGATTAATAATAATATGTTGATCTTCACTCTCATTTGGCATTGATCAAGTAGCTGAAAGTAGATGCAAGGAAAACATTGGCTAAACATTCACCTTACTGGCAGGCATAGGAGTATCTGTCTCGGAATCAATTCCAGCATCCTTAATCTCATGTACCTCTACTGACACATCAAGCTCCAAAAACTCTGCACTTCCTTTTGGTTCTGTGACGATTGGGTAGAGGAATTCAGAACCCCTCTGTGATCTAAATAGATTGCAGAAAGGAAAATAATTATGCGCAATGGAACAACATTTTTATTTCAAAAATTTTACCTTTCTGGACCACACTACCAATTTGGTTCTTGGTTCCCCCACTCTCCATCGCTGCTTTGTTGTTTTCCATTTCAACAGCTTCCCCTAGTCTCTTCTCATTTATCGATCCATTAAGGTCCTCAATTGGGTCCTCTATTACCACGACATGCTCAACATTCTTCTTGTCATCTCTGTTCCCTTCTATCATGCTTCCCATCTCTACATTTTCTTTATTTCCCCTTTCTTGAATAATCTCCTTATTTTCTTTTGGCCCTTCAAGTTTCCTCTCATCTTCTGCTCTTTTCATCTCCGATTTCATACTTGTGTCTTCAACTAATGATGTCTCCATTTCCTCAATGATGGTGGTGAAATTCTTCGCATTGATTTCCTTGGCAATTTCACCACCTCTTTCTTCAACCAGATCTGATTCTACACTAGCATTTTTTCCATCTTCATCAACTGAAACTACAACTTGGTCCACATTATCCTCAACTAACAGCTCCTCTAGCGGTGGACCCTTGCTTCTTTCCATCACTGGTTCCTCTTCTTCATCTTCAATTTTCACTTCAAACTTCCCTTCCAAATTCAATGTCCCCTCATCATGATCCTCTCCCTCTAAGTACTCACCAATGGCAACATCTTCCTCAGACACCTTTTCCTTCACTTTTTCATCTACAATAACGTTCAAATTCATCGGTTCTTCCTTGTTCTTCTCAGTGCTTTGATTTCCATAATCCTCTGCCTTTGATGCATCTAAGTAATCACCAAAATCTTCCCCATACCCCACTTCTTTCACACTTTCTTCTACTTCTTTCATTGGTTCTTCTTCTTTTTCTTCTTCGGACAGTACTGTTCCATTCTCCAACATAAGAGGATATGATGATGATGATGTTGGGTATGGAAGCAACTTGTCCATGAGCTTCTGAGTGCAAGCATAGCTTGCAAAGGCAAAGCCAAAAGGAACCGATAATCCAAACCCAAGCGCAGAGATAACGACGAGTGGAGGAAGAACCAACGGAGCAGATGAGATCACAATAGCAGTGATCACAATCTTCTTTCCCAGATTCAGACCCTTGTCCAATAACCAACTCACCCTACTACTCCTAGTGTTAGTGTTACTTTCTCCTTCATCTGATGATGTGTATTCCTGAATTTCCCAGTACTCCTCTCTTGGGTCTTCCATCCTATGACACAAACGGAACCAGGGTTGCAACACGAGGGGACAAAATTAGGAGCACGATAATTCACAAACTAATAAAACCCTTATATTTTTAACAAAATATAAACATATTTTATAATTCAATCAAGAAAAATATATTTCATTATAAACTAAGTTTCTTCATGAAAGATAACAATTATTCAACCATAACAAAATATTTTAATTTCACTTTTTAACTTCGTCATAATCAAAATGGAACTTGATACTCTTTTAAATCTTGAAAAAGTTTTAAGATTAAGGCAGAGCTAAATAAGAGATGATTTTGATGTACAAAGCCACATAGTGAAGACAACTAAAATGATCTTTAGTTGATGAAATAAGATTGATGACATTTAAAATAAACGGTTAGATGACACATAAAGAACTCTGTAGAGAGAAAAATCGAGAAGAGTTAGATTTTCTTTGTGTAAATATGTTGGTCAAATAATAATATTAGGGTGTGTACCATATACACTTTATAATATAACTACAGAAGAAAATGACATTACTACATACTTTCTAAGTCATAACTAAAAAAAATTATAACCAAATACAAAAAAATCATAACTAAATATTTCAAAATAATATCATAACTAAAGAAGAAAATGACGTAACCAATGGTGCATATGGCATGGGATGTGTATAATAGAATTCTCCATAATATTAAAATGATTACATTATTTTTTACTATATTTTATATACAATATGATATTACCATTACATTGATGTCCCATTAAATTAATGAAAATGATAGCATATAAGATGAAATGTTATAAAATAAAAAAATGTGTCAAAATGTCTTAGAGATACATTTTATTTCATGGGTTGAGATTAATTCCCAAATTCATCAAGGGTCAAGATTTCTTTAATTCTCACTCACCCACCTTCTTTTCCCCCCTTTTTTTCACTCATGCATTCTCTCTCTTTCTCTTCTCTCCTTCCCACCTTCCTTCCTCTTGACTTTTTATATTTTTATTTTTATTTTTCCCCCTTTTATTTTCCTTCCTAATTCTTTTATTTTTATTTTAATTTTTCTCCTTTTTGCTCACTTATTTTATTTACGCCTTGCCCTCAGGCATGCACTAGTCTTCAATAAACTAAAAGGGCTAGAAGAAAAAGGGCAAACTACCAATAGGTTTTAGTAGCTGAATTTTTTTTCCCATAAACTCCTGCTAAAAATAAATCCTAATATAATGTTGTTAAAAATATTTTTTTGACGATTTTTTTGTATATATCGTTAAAAATTAATAATTAGTGATTTTTTTTACATTTTTTTAAATTGTTACTAAAACTTATAATTAGTGATATTTTTCTATAAGGAATTTTTCAAACTGAAAGTTGAAAATTAGTAACTTTTTTGTGACAAGTTTAATTGTTACTAAAACTTATAATTAGTGATATTTTTATGACAAAAATTTTAAACTGTCGCTAAAAATTGACATTTTTAATAGTGTTTGATAGAAAACGTGATTAATTATCACAGAAGCTATTAGACAATTAAGTCCACATATATAATCGGTAACCCAATCCAAAAAAAGAATTAAATTAAATTTATTTTGATCAGTTTTTTTGGTTAAGCAAAAAGGGGGAAGGGGAATGAAAATCAAAATTAGACAGAGGCTAACGAATAATTAAAAAGAAGAAGAAGAAAGAAACAGAGTTTTTTACCTGATGATGGTGATGATGAAGTTGTAAGTGCTGCTCTTCTGAGGGAGAAGAGAAGAAGAGAAGGAGGTGGCGGCTATGGTGGAATAGGAATAGGGTTTCTTTCACAGCAGGAGTGTTCATCATCTATCTGATGACATTGTGATGAGAGAGAGAGAGAGAGAGAGAGAGTCGTTTGAGACACGCGTTCAAAAGATAGAATAGACAGCTGCAGGCAGCAGAGGAGAAAGATTGGCAGCTGCCCCAATCCCACTGCATGCTGCATGCAATGCATTATGCTCTGTGGGACGTGAGTTGTCCTGCTCTATTTTAATGATCGAAATAGTTTATATTGTAAACAAATTTAAGTATTTATTTATATAAAAAAATTAATCAGGATTTGTACACACGTAATTAAGTTTTAATTTTTTTAAAAATAAATAATTTTGGGTAAATTATACCTTCTTCTAAGATTTCTGACAAATAGAATGACCTTCCATGTGGTTTCAGTAATTACAGTTACCTTCTCTACTTTACCTGATAATGTTAAGATTTTCTCATTTTGTCTATTTTACACAAACGAGCTTCTATCTACACACACCTAATCCCCTCTATACACGCACTTAATGAAATTTGAGTGCTGCTATTAGTACCTATTAAAATTTTTTGGACCCCCTCATCTCTTTGGACCCCAACCCTAAACTCTAAATTTTAATAATATTTTTTTGGACACCCCACTTATTACCAAATCTATCCATATTCACAATGAAATGCACACCCACCTGAATCCATTCCAACATATGCACGCAATTCACACCCCCAACCACACCCACTCTTTACCTCCCTCTCTTCTCTCTCTTTCTCTCTCTCTCTCTCTCTCCTCATCAGTGATGTCTCTTCTCTCTCTTTTCTCTCACTCTCTCAAAAACCCTTTTGTTCAGATGAGAAAGTGAAGATTTTTCTCTCTTCTCTCTCTTTTCTCTTTCTCTCTCTCTCTCAAAACCCCTTAAAAACCCTAGCTTTTTCTCTCTCTTCTCTCTCCAACATTAACCACATCTAAAAAGTGGTTCCTGAAAACACAATGCATTTACTTGTGGGGTTGGTGTTCTTCATCGATTAAGATTTCAGTGACGTGGGTCTCTTTAGAATTTGCCATTGATTAGGAAATTCAGATGAGAAAGTGAAGATTGATACGAATTGTAGGAATAGAAAACAATGTATATATATGGAAAACTAATCTCCATAATATTTCAATAATATTTTCAGAATAGAAAACTAATCTCCATATTTTCACAATGAAATGCACACCCACCCAATTTGTTCACCACTGTGTAGCCGAAAAAATGTATTTTGTTCAGAACTATTTTGTCGAACAATAATGATCCTGTCAGCACTGTATGTCCGAACAAAATTTGTTCATCACTGTGCAACTTGAATCCATTCTAATTCACAACTTAAAATAACATGAATTAAATCCATTCAAAATACATAACTTAAATCCATTCCAATTCACTCTTTTCCATTCTAAGTTAGTTTAACAAAGAAAATTACATAACTGACTATCTGCATTAATGTTCGGAACCTATGTATTGAACGAAAGGATTATGTTCAGTACTGTATTACCGAACATAATCGTAACAGTCAGCAAACCAGTACCGAACAGCTCGAATGAAACAAGAACGATCGAAAACGACCGAGAATGTTAATACAAGACAGATAAACGACCGAGAATGTTGTCCTCGTCCTTCATTGCTCTACACAGTAAAATAAGTGATGAAGTATATGTTATACTTGAAGCAAAACTTTCAAGTTTAATAGCGTTGATGATGGTGATGAAGATGACACATTCAGGATTTAAGATGATTATGAAAAATAATAGATTTAGGGTTTATGTTAGTTGGTTATGAAAAGTAATAGGTTTAGGGTTTACAAACATGGAATACGTATAGTTGGAGTTGGAGGTGGGGGTGGGGGTGGGTGTCCAATATTATAGAGTATTAGTTATTATTGATAGGTGGGTATTCTATTTCATAATGTCTTTTAAAGTAACTTTACTTTAGGGTATAATTGTAATAAAAAAAAATTATAAAATGGGGGGTCCAAAGAATTTTGGCAGGTGCTAATAGCAGCACTCTGAAATTTAATTTTATTACAATTTTATCCCTAACTGAAATTACTATTTTAGACATCTACCTAATTCAAAAGTCTCAATGCACACATCCAGACTTCACGTTGAAGCTCCAGGTTTAGCTTCTTCCATTGAGGTAGAAGTGAATGCACTCATTAATTAAGCTCCAAGTTCAACTTCTTCCATTGAGCTAGAAGTGCTCATTCATGAAGCTCAAAGTTCAGCTTCTTCCATTAAGGTCCAAGTTCGTAGCTTCTCAACCTTCCTCATTCGTAGTTTCTTCCTCATTCATCATTGTTATGGAGGATTTGCCTTCTGAAAATCAGCAAATAAGTGTTTCTGTGAAACAGAGCGAAGGAAATGTGAGTTTCAATTTTTTTTTTCCCAGTGTCATTCGGATAACCAGAGTCGGATTGTGTTATTTGGTTCAGAAATCTACTACCGAAATAATTATTTATTTTCGGAAGTTGTTGTCCGAACAAAGTAATAAATTTCGGAAGTTGTTGTCCGAACAAGATATTTAAATTCGGAAGTTGTTGTCCGAAAAAAGTTAACTTTTACAACATTCAACTTCCGAAATTTAAAAATAAATTCGGACAACTAGTTCCGAATGAAGTAAATTTTTTTTTTCCCGTTTTATATTCCAAATTTGCAAATTTCATACCAAATTTATAGTGCCAAATTGAAAATTAATCTTTATAATGCCATTAAAAATTTATAATGTTATACAAAACATACAGGAATATGTGTCAACTCAAGGAAGTCAGGTTTGCGCGGATTTTGTGTTAGATTACACCACTCAATTCACAACTGAACAGGTTCACTCGACGAAATTATAACGATTATGTTTCGAATTACTCACCAAATGTAAATGTTTGATAATATTTATTTAACTTTATAGGTATTCAAAAGTAAGGATGAATTGCTCAACTGGGTACGCGATGTTGGAAAGAGAAATGGCTTGGTCATTGTAATCAAAACATCAGACTATGGTGGAGGGAAAAAAAGACCCAGGATGTATCTTGCTTGTGAGCGGAGTGGCCAATATAGAGCAACAAAGAAGTTAAAACATGATGGCAACAATACATTAAGAATAACCGGTATGAAGAAGTGTGGTTGTCCTTTTGATATGAGGGCTCACAGGTTTACCACACATGATGAATGGACATTGACCGTAGTATGCGGATTGCATAATCATCCACCTGCGGAGCACCTTGAGGGACATTCATATGCGGGGAGGCTATCAAAGGATGAGAAAGCATTGTTAATGGATATGTCAAAGAGCATGGTTTGGCCAAAAGAAATCTTAGTAGCCTTGAAATAGCGAGATGCCCTCAATGTAAGCACACTTAAAACCATTTACAATGTACGCCATCGAAACAGGGTGGTACAGAGAGCTGGAAGATCACAGATGCAACACTTATTAGGTGAATTGGCCAAGTATAATTACATTGAGCGCCATCGGTCTGAAGAGTCCACGATGACTGTGACAGACTTGTTTTGGGCACATCCTACCAGTTTGGACTTATTTCGGTCTTTCCCACGTATATTAATTATGGATTGCACATATAAAACCAACAGATATCGGCTTCCTCTTCTTGAAATTGTGGGAGTGACATCAACTGAAATGACATTCTCTGTAGCTTTTGCATACTTACAGTATGAGAGGGTCGATAACTATGCGTGGGTGTTAGCCACATTACGTGATGTCATGGATGGGTTTGTTGTGCCAACAGTTATTGTTACTGACAGAGAGATAGCCTTGATGAATGCCATACAAAAGATATTCCCGAGTAATCCAGTCAATACTTGTATGTTGTGCGCATCACATAGTAATCTAGGCTAATAACCGGAATAAGAACACACAATGTTTTCAAAACTAGATATCATGGTTAGTAGAGGCCGATCTTTGATCGGCGAGCAGGGTGCTCACGAAGTGACCTTCCCCAATCGTACCCAAGTTCCCGAGCCGAGGCAACTTTGGTGATGACGGACACGTGGCCTTAGGCAACGCAGTCAGGGTTTCCTAAATTTTTCCAAATAAAAATATTTAGTGGCGACTCTGTATCTGGCAAAGCAGTCCATGTTTGGCACTTCTTCAAAAAATCTGTTTCTCAAAACGATTTGCCGGATTTAGACTCTTGGTTCAGACTTAGAACCGTGACAATTTTAGAGTCTTAAGCTGTAGTGACCCCAAATGAACGGAACGGAGCTCACCCTCCCGGGGCGTTCGGGGACGTCTACAGTAAGTATGCGAAAGCTACAGAGAATGTCATTTCAGTTGATGTCACTCCCACAATTTCAAGAAGAGGAAGCCGTATCTGTTGGTTTTATATGTGCAATCCATAATTAATATACGTGGGAAAGACCGAAATAAGTCCAAACTGGTAAGATGTGCCCAAAACAAGTCTGTCACAGTCATCGTGGACTCTACAGCGACGATGGCGCTCAATGTAATTATACTTGGCCAATTCACCCAATAAGTGTTGCATTTGTGATCTTCCAGCTCTCTGTACCACCCTGTTTCGATGGCGTACATTGTAAATGGTTTTAAGTGTGCTTACATTGAGGGCATCTCGCTGTTTTCAAGGTTACTAAGATTTCTTTGGCCAAACCATGCTCCTTGACATATCCATTAACAATGCTTTCTCATCCTTTGATAGCCTCCCCGCATATGAATGTCCCTCAAGGTGCTCCGCAGGTGGATGATTTAGCAATCCGCATACTACGGTCAATGTCCATTCATCATGTATGGTAAACCTGTGAGCCCTCATATCAAAAGGACAACCACACTTCTTCGTACCGGTTATTCTTAAGTATTGTTGCCATCATGTTTTAACTTCTTTGTTGCTCTATATTGGCCACTCCTCTCACAAGCAAGATACATCCTGGGTCTTTTTTTCCCTCCACCATAGTCTGATGTTTTGATTACAATGACCAACCATTTCTCTTTCCAACATCACGTACCCAGTTGAGCAATTCATCCTTACTTTTGAATACCTATAAAGTTAAATAAATATTATCAAACATTTGCATTTGGTGAGTAATTCGAAACATAATCGTTATAATTTCGTAGAGTGAACCTGTTCAGTTGTGAATTGAGTGGTGTAATCTAACACAAAATCCGCGCAAACCTGACTTCCTTGAGTTGACACATATTCCTGTATGTTTTGTATAACATTATAAATTTTAATGGCATTATAAAAGATTAATTTTCAATTTGGCACTATAAATTTTGGTATGAAATTTGCAAATTTGGAATATAAAACGGGAAAAAAAAAATTACTTCATTCGGAACTAGTGTTCCGAATTTATTTTTAAATTTCGGAAGTTGAATGTTGTAAAAGTTAACTTTTTTCGGACAACAACTTCGAATTTAATATCTTGTTCGGACAACAACTTCCGAAATTTATTACTTTGTTCGGGCAACAACTTCCGAAAATAAATAATTATTTTTGGTAGTAGATTTCTGAACCAAATAACACAATCCGACTCTGGTTATCCGAACGACGCTGGGAAAAAAAAAATTGAAACTCACATTTCCTCGCTCTGTTTCACAGAAACACTTATTTGCTGATTTTCAGAAGGCAAATCCTCCATAACAATGATGAATGAGGAAGAAACTACGAATGAGGAAGGTTGAGAAGCTACGACTTGGACCTTAATGGAAGAAGCTGAACTTTGAGCTTAATGAATGAGCGCTTCTAGCTCAATGGAAGAAGCTGAACTTGGAGCTTAATGAATGAGTGCATTCACTTCTACCTCAATGGAAGAAGCTAAACCTGGAGCTTCAACGTGAAGTCTGGATGTGTGCATTGAGACTTTTGAATTGGGTAGATGTCTAAATAGTAATTTCAGTTAGGGATAAAATTGTAATAAAATTAAATTTCAGAGTGCTGCTATTAGCACCTGCCAAATTCTTTGGACCCCCCATTTTATAATTTTTTTTTTTATACAATATACCCTAAAGTAAAGTTACTTTAAAAGACATTATGAAATAGAAACCCACCTATCAATAATAACTATACTCTATAATATTGGACACCCACCCACCCCCACCTCCAACTCCAACTATACGTATTCCATGTTTGTAAACCCTAAACCTATTACTTTATTAACCAACTAACATAAACCCTAAATCTATTATTTTTCATAATCATCTAAAATCCTGAATGTGTCATCTTCATCACCATCATCAACGCTATTAAACTTGAAAGTTTGCTTCAAGGATAACGTATACTTCATCACTTATTTCACTGTGTAGAGCAAGTGGACGAGGACAACATTCTCGGTCGTTTATCTGTCTTGTATTAACATTCTCGGTCGTTTCGATCGTTCTTGTTTCATTCGAGCTGTTCGGTACTGGTTTGCTGACTGTACGATTATGTCGGTAATACAGTACTGAACATAATCCTTTCGTTCAATACATAGGTTCCGAACATTAATGCAGATAGTCAGTATGTAATTTTCTTGTTAAACTAAATTAGAATGGAAAAGAGTGAATTGGAATGGATTTAAGTTATGTATTTTGAATGGATTTAATTCATGTTATTTTAAGTTGTGAATTAGAATGGATTCAAGTTGCACAGTGATGAACAAATTTTGTTCGGACATACAGTGCTGACAGGATCATTATTGTTCGACAAATAGTTCTAACAAAATACATTTTTTCGGCTACACAGTGGTGAACAATTGGGTGGGTGTGCATTTCATTGTGAAAATATGGAGATTAGTTTTCTATCTGTAAAATATTATTGAAATATTATGGAGTTAGTTTTCCATATATATACATTGTTTTCTATTCCTACAATTCGTATCAATCTTCACTTTCTCATCTGAATTTCCTAATCAATGGCAAATTCTAAGAGACCCACGTCACTGAAATCTTAATCGATGAAGAACACCAACCCCACAAGTAAATGCATTTGTGTTTCAAGGAACACTTTAGATGTGGTTAATGTTGGAGAGAGAAGAGAGAGAAAAAGCTAGGGTTTTTAAGGGGTTTGAGAGAGAGAGAGAAAGAGAAAAGAGAGAAGAGAGAAAAATCTCACTTTCTACTGAACAAAAGGGTTTTTGAAGAGAGTGAGAAAAAGAGAAGAAGAGACATCACTGATGAGGAGAGAGAGAGAGAGAGAGAAAGAGAGAGAAGAGAGGGAGGTAAAGAGTGGGTGTGGTTGGGTGTGTAATTGCGTGCATATGTTGGAATGATTCAGGTGGGTGTGCATTTCATTGTGAATATGGATAGATTGGTATAATGGGGGGGTGTCCAAAAAAATATTATTAAAATTTAGAGTTTAGGGTTGGGTCCAAAGAGATGAGGGGGTCCAAAAAAATTTTAATAGGTACTAATAGCAGCACTCAAATTTCATTAAGTGCGTGTATAGAGGGGATTAGGTGTTGTAGATAGAAGCTCGTTTGTGTAAAATAGACAAAATGAGAAAATCTTAACATTATCAGGTAAAGTAGAGAAGGTAACTGTAATTACTGAAACCACATGAAGGTCATTCTATTTGTCAGAAATCTTAGAAAAGGTATATTTACCCAAATTATTTATTTTTAAAAAAATTAAAAACTTAATTACGTGTGTACAAATCCTGATTAATTTTTTTAATAAATAAATACTTAAATTTGTTTACAATATAAACTATTTCGATCATTAAAATAGAGCAGGACAACTCACGTCCCATCAGAGCATAATGCATTGCATGCAGCATTCAGTGGGATTGGGCAGCTGCCAATCTTTCTCCTCTGCTGCCTGCAGCTGTCTATTCTATCTTTTGAACGCGTGTCTCAAACGACTCTCTCTCTCTCTCTCTCTCTCTCATCACAATGTCATCAGATAGATGATGAACACTCTGCTGTGAAAGAAACCCTATTCTATTCCACCCATAGCCGCCACCTCCTTCCTCTTCTTCTCTTCTCCCTCAGAAGAGCAGCACTTACAACTTCATCATCACCATCATCAGGTAAAAAACTCTTGTTTCTTTCTTTCTTCTTCTTTTTAATTATTCGTTAGCCTCTGTCTATTTTGATCTTCATTCCCCTTCCCCCTTTTGCTCAACCAAAAAAACTGATCAAAATAAATTAATTTAATTTTTTTTTTGGATTGGGTTACCGATTATATATGTGGACTTAATTGTCTAATAGCTTCTGTGATAATTAATCACGTTTTCTATCAATACTATTAAAAATGTCAATTTTTAGCGACAGTTTAAAATTTTTTGTCATAAAAATCACTAATTATAAGTTTTAGTAACAATTTAAAAAATGTAAAAAAATCACTAATTATTAATTTTAACGATATATACAAAAAAATCGTCAAAA